ACATCATGGCAAGGCCCCTTCTTGAGGGCTCAATCCTCACATTCCATCCCCCTTAGCTTCGAAAGTCCGCTGAGATGCTTACTTCGCAGGTGCCTTCCCTTTCAGCTTTCTCTCGTATTCTGCCACCACTTGAGGAGCTGTCTCAATCAGTTCCTCTTTGGTAAGCCAACGATCTTCTTTTGGATCCGTATGATGCCTGAATCGGACGCGGTACTCTCTCTTGGGCTTGGGAGGTCTTCCTCGGCCCAGCGGCTTTGGAACAGGCATGTCCCTGTGATCCACAATGTCGTCAATGTCTACTTGACCATCCATGGTTGGGGGCAACATCGATCTCCTCGAAGGGAATTGATCCGTCTCAGCGAAAGGTGCAAGCTTCGAGGCATGAAAAACAGGGTAAGTGCGTAGGTGTCCAGGGACACAGATGATATATGTGGGACCATCCATCTCATCCCCCACTATATCCAGGACTTCCCAAGGACCAAAATACTGAGCATTAGTTTACGAGAGATTCCAAATTCCTGTCTTAGCTCACTAGCCTTGACCCAGACACGTTCCCCTACCTGAAATGAGGACTGTCTACGATGTTGATTCTCAGAAGCAATCATCGCTTGCTGAGCTTTCTTCATATGCTCGACAGCTTCTTGCAGCAACTTCTCATACTGCACACCATACTCGAGTGTGCCTGGAGTTGCAGCAGGTCGGTTTTCGGGTGGGAGGAAGTCTAGGGCTGATCTAGGCTTCCATCCCAAGTGCAGCTGATTAGGACTAACGTCGGTACTGCTGTGTACAACATTGTTGTGCAAGCTGGCGATGAGAGGCAACTGCTCATCCTAGTCATCCTGGTTGGGCTTGATGTAATGCCTCAGCAAGTGTTGTACAACTCTATTCATTTGTTCGGCTTGTCCGTTGGCTTCGGGATGATTCCCTGAAGTCATCTGAAGTTGACTGCCCATCTGTTCAACAGTCTTCTTTTATAGCTCACTTGTGAAGCGGACATCTCTGTCACTAACGATGGTCTTTGGTAACCCAACATCACACACCCAGTTGTCCGTGAACAACTTGATGACATGGCCAGTCCTTGCCGTCTCTGGCATTGCAACTAGTCTAGCATACTTGGTGAATCGGTCGATGATGACGAAAATGTGTCTCTTGCCACTCTTACTAGTCACCAAGGTGTCCATGAAATCCATGGAGACACTCTGTCCTGGACCAGTAGGAATAGGCAAAGGCTTCAACAACCCAAGCGGTGCTTGAGTTCGCGGCTTGTCTCGCTGACAGACCTGACAGGTCTCTACGTACTTCTTTGCGTCATCTAACATTCCTGGCCACCAAAATCGTTGTACTAGGTTAGCACTCGTCTTCTTGTAGCCAAAGTGTCCGGTTGCGTCATGACATTCGCCTAAAAACAAACTACGCAAACGTTCACTAGATGGAACTACTAACCTTTTTATTCCGGCCTTTTCAAGATAGAGTAACCCGTCCACCATCACAAACTCACTTTCCGTGGCCTTGTCTTTTGCCTGAAGTTTGCGCATGATGTCCATCGTGACAGGGTCTTCCTGATAGGCTCCCACCAATGATTGAGTTACTTCATCAAATACGCCAAAGTCAGAAACTAGCGCACCTAGGTAGTCTGCTCTACGTGATAGTGCATCTGCAACCTTGTTGTACTCTCCCTTCAGATACTCAAGCTTGAAGTCATATTGGTCTATGACCTCAATCCATCGCTTGAGTGCGTCAGAAAGAGCCGGTTGAGTCTTGATCCATTTGAGGGTCTGATGATCAGTCCTCAAGTAGAAGAACCTTCCCAATAGGAAGTGTCTCCAATGGACAAGTGTTTTATATAGAGCATAGAGTTCCCTTTCGTAGGTGGACTTTGCCAACTTCTTTGATGGCATCTTCTTGCTTATGTACTCAATTGGTCTCAACTTCTTCCCATCCTGCTGAGCCAGCACTGCGCCAATGCCGTATTGGCTTGCGTCAGTGGTCACTATGAATGGCTTCTGAGGATCGGGAACCATGAGGACCTCATGATTCATGAGTGCATGCTTCAATCTTTTGAAAGCACCCTCGCACTCATCACTCCAGTCCCACGGCGTGTCAAGTCGAGTTAGATCAGTCAAAGGAGAGGCGACTGTAGAATAGTTCTTGACGAAGTTCCTATAATAGCCGSACATTCCTAAGAAAGATCTGACCTCAGTGAYTGTCTGAGGTCGTGGCCAGTCTCGAATACTAGCCACCTTCGCATCTTCCGGTCTAATCCCCTCCGCGGATACTTCATGACCCAAGTATAGTATCTTAGTGCGACCAAACTCACAGTTCTCTAAGTTGACCTTATACTTGTGTTGTCGCAGGAGTGAGAGTACAGTCTCAACGTGTTGTGCGTGCTCCTCGGCAGACTTGCTAAAGATCAGAATGTCGTCAAGGTAAACAACGACAAACTTATCCAAATGGTCATGGAAGATCCGATTCATAGCGTGCTGGAATGTTCCTGGCGCGTTACAAAGACCAAAAGGCATCACTACAAACTCATACAGACCATAACGAGTCTGAAAAACTGTCTTGTGTTGGTCCTCAAGCCTTATTGCGATATGATGATAACCGGATTTCAAGTCTATCTTGCTATAGTACTTGCATCCCTGCACCCTATCCAATAGGTCATCTATGCGAGGTAGAGGCTCTGCTTTCTTCACAGTGATGGCATTGAGGCCTCTATAGTCAATGCACATCCTAAAAGTACCCCCCTTCTTCGATACGAATAGTACGGGAGATCCGTAAGGGGAAGTACTAGGCCGAATCCATCCCTTTTCTGTCAGCTCCTTGAGCTGTCGCCGAAGTTCATCTAACTCGGCAGGCGCCATCCTATAGATCCTTCCCTTTGGGGTTTTACTCCCTGGAATGATTTCTATAGCGTGGACAACTTCCCTTTCAACAACTCCTGTGGGCTCTTCGAACAGATCAGGGAACTTAGCAACGACGCGTTCTATCTCTGGGGGTGTGTTAACGGCCTCCCCTTTCTCAGAGACATACACAAGGTGCATACCTTCCTCTTGGTTTTGCTTATAGTAATTGTAGAATGCTGATGCACACAAGCAGCCATATGTATCTATAATGCTACTGGCCTTGAACTTAGTCAATCTGACAGTTCGACCATCGGGCAACTTATGCTTGAGCACCTTCTTATCCCAGTCGAACTGGGGCTTAGCAACTTGGAGGTAGTACATGCTTAACAACATGTAGAATGGTAAGTCGTCGCTTACCAAGAACGAAATCTTATGATTAAGTTCTCCTCCTCCATAGGAGAAGGTACAGACTACGTCCTTGATATAGTCTGTTACAATCATGCGCTCCTTGTTTGCCAAAGTAAATGCTATGGGTCTACTAAGGTGCCTTACCCGGTCCTGTAGGTGCAGCCTTTCCAAACAGTCGCGACTTATGTAATTCCGCGTGGAGCCTATGTCTATGAAGGCACCACATTTGCGGCCTCCTACATCGACTTCCACCACGAAATGTTCCCCTCTAGGACCTTTCCTTAGCGCCACCCAAGACTCGCGAGGGTCCTTGTTTGACCACTCACTCTCCAAGTCTTCTAAGGCATCAGACAAATCTAACGTACAAAGCATAGTTTGGTCTAGATGAGTCTATGGGGTGACTAAAGAGTCATTAGCTTTGGCCCTCTCGTGAAGTGGGGAGGGTATCTGGCCCACTTCACCAAGAGTAGAAGCAGCTAAAACTTCCACTGGCCTCACGCGCTTCCCGAGCTAGAAGCCTGGGAATAAGATGCCCCCATCTTTGGAGGTATCTTTTGCGTAACCTTTGCGTTCTGGCACTTGTACTGCGAGTGACCGTATTCCCCGCAGTTGATACAAGCGCCACGCACTCGGCGGTCACGCCACACGTCTTGATCAAGACCTGCCTTCACCCAATCAGCCACTTTGGTCTGGTTGGAGGCAGCCTTCCCTTGATTCTTTGGTTGGCCCTTCCCTCGGCCACTTGCCTTAGCCTTTACAACTGCGGCGAGGGTGCTACCCTCAGCGGTCTCCTCGCCGTCGTACTCTGAGTAGTCCATCAGGTCAGTGAGCTCATCGATTTCCGTTTGAGTCCCATCGGACTCAACCATCATCAACTTCGCCCCCTTCTTCTTCCACTCCTGAGGACTCCTCTTCTTCTTCGTGTCAATCTGGGAGGGTTGAGCATTGCCTAGAGTGGCCTCCAAATCTAAGGCTTTCCTAGACAATGTCTCAAATGAATGGTACTCGACGCGTGCCTCACTGGCCAGCAAGTTCCTGATGTTCTCTGGAAGACATCTAACAAACGCAATTAACAGGAACTGGTCACTGTAGTTGATGCCTGGAACGAGGATCAGACTCTCAACGGTAGTCGTAAGCTCTCTAACCGACTTGAACTTTCGTTGGTCTAACTTGTTAATCGCATCAGTGGCTCTTTGTGCCTCCTGTGGATTATGCCATCGAGCTTCTACCATCTCCATGAACTGGTCTAACGTTAAAGACTTAGCCCAGTCCGCCATGCGTCGCCCGTACCTGGCTTTTACAACTACACCATCTAGCCATTTGGCAGCCTTACCCTTGAGATAAGATGCAGCGGTAACCACTTCGTCCTCCAGCAAGGTCCTCTTGGCCTTCACCCAAACCGGGACTGTCCTCAACCAAGTGTTGAGCTCTTCGTCCTTTCTCTCGCCTGAGAAGGCAAGAGGCGGTTTCATTGGGGTCTTAGGGTACCACTGACCTTGGGGCTGTCCCTGTTGAGGAACAGGTTGTTGCGGTGGTGTAGCTCCCACCGCTAGACCCGAAGAAGAAGATGCAACAGTCTGTGCAACTGCTGCAGACGTACCACTTGGCTGTGTACCAGCTTGAACTGGAAAGGGGCCTGACATCGCCGATAACGGCAACGGCGATTGTGCTGGTGGCCTGAATCCTCGCCTCGTCAATACATCCAGGATCTGGTCTAGAGTGCTCTGCATGAAGTCTAATCTGCTGTCCACGTGTGCATGCAACGACAACATATTCTTCTTCAGTGTTTTCATTTGGTCATTCATTGATGACTCATCCAAGCCTTCTAACTCAGCCTTGTCAGCCTCTAAAGTATCATGCCTGGCTGCTCTATTTCTCTTTCTCTATCGGTTGCCTTCTTCAGGTCCTCCTCTAACTTCTGGCGGAGCCTCTCGACCTGTTGGATCTCTCTGAGCTCCCTCTCACGTGGGGTCAGCGGGCTGAACTGCGAGCCCGCCATTTGACTAGTAGACTGTCGAGAACCCATTGAACTGGAAGTGCCCGTGGAACTTGTTGGCATTCCCAACTGAGTCCCATTGGTCCCAGATAAAGCCGCAGAGGATGCTGCTGAGCTAGTCATGGCTGCTGCCCTGGCTGCTGCGGCAGCTTGTTCCCTACCTGCGGTGTTTGCTGTTGCCCTAGCCGCTGCTAGTGCACGGGCTTTACGTTCGGTTATAAGCCGTCTTTCGTCTCCCGGTTGTAGGGCCTGAAACACGTGCGGGACCCTAAGTGCTTCCGCACGTGTTAGTCTCCTATTGTCTGCTCTATCATCAACAGGATCTGTTCCGCTCATCAGTTAGGCAGACAGTATCTGCACTAGAATCCCCTAGTGGAATCCTACCACAACATGTGTCTGACCGGCACCTAATTTTCTAAAAATAGTTGTGTCCGACAAGTCCCCTACTGGTTCAAATCCTGTAGGATGCTGAATTCTTCGGTTTCCTGCGGATTATGCCCATTACATTTCAGTAAGGTGAACTCGTACATGTATCGAATTTGACACACAAAACAAAGGGCCGAAGGCCAGAGCACGTTCCCGCATATAGTGAAATTTTATTTGAGCCTAGACAACCCAACTCACGTCTTTAAACCTTTGACAGATTTAAAAGGACTCACGTATGGTTCGGAAGCCGAGCCAGTGTTAATTGGAGTTTGTCTCTAAGGAACGATTCCAATTCAGATCTCAGTTTCACTGCTTCTGATCGTGGACCAGAGATTGCTACTAGAAAATCATCTGCGAAGCGGATGTAATGCATCCTTCGGTTCCAATGCGTGGGATTCAGACGCGAAGCGTCTGCTCTTCGAGCCTTGTTATATTCAGCTCACGCTTTCTTAATGATCTGTACCGATCAAGTGGCATGTCTACAACATTCACAACAGATTGTCTACATAGTCTAGATGTACTCTGATTGGTTCACTTACAGCAGCATTAGACAAAACTGGCTATGGTAGCATACAACAGTCCTAATCTAATATGTCTGTGAGGTGTTAGCAGTTTGTCCACCAACTAATCAAGAATACAAAAAGACCATGTAGCAGATGTATGATGAGTGGGTATGGTTGTGTATACAGTTGAGCACCAATTAGAACCTACCCTTCCCCTCAATCCAACATACCGGTAAGCATCATTGAGCGAGCAGTGTCTTCATGTGTGTATAGGCCCACCCCTGTGCCCTCATTTTATGTAAATATCGTAGGCTATTATGCTTAGTGTGTGACTCGTTTTAATTGAATGTTTTAACTAATTGAATTACTTAAATAGTAATTTAATTGTATATTCATTATAAGAATATGATATTTTATCGTATTCTTATAATGAATATACAATTAAATAATCAAAGAAATATCATACAATTAGATATAAATAAAGAAAAATCAAACTTAGATAATGATAATATAATATAAACTTAGAGAATCTAGATAGATGAATCTAAATAGTCGTAGCCGAGCAAGCCAGCCAGTATGGTTGTGTATACAGTTGAGCGAGCACCAATTAGAACCTACCCTTCCCCTCAATCCAACATACCGGTAAGCATCATTGAGCAAGCAGTGTCTTCGTGTGTGTATCGGCCCACCCCTGTGCCCAAGTCGTAGCCGAGCAAGCCAGCCAGTCCACTCTTATTTACCCTCGTACGGAAACGAGCCTTACACCCGGTTGATCTGGCTGATCAGGAGGAATTTATAGAGCGCCCCCATCTCTTCAGGAATTCTTTAACGTCGCAGTCAGGACGACGATCACAGCCAGAATCAATCTGAGTCCCCAACCAAAAATGTTTATAGACGGTCTGGTAAGCGTCTCATAAAAGGCTGGCACACCCGGCAGGACTTCTATTTAGCGCAGCAAGTGCCATAATGGACAGCAGCCATCGCATGCGTGACCTACTCCCATTGGGTTGGCATGGTGACCGTGATCCGGTGCTTCCACCAGGGCCCTTTAGAGGCACCGCCCTTTCTCCTTCCAGATGCTTCCGGGAAGATTGTCGTCTCTCAAGGTAGCACACTCACGACACCTCACCAAAAGAGAGGACTCTCAAGTTGGACTCAGTTCCTCACGGTAAGAAGAGATTGAGAGAGTAGATAAGGTAAGGGAACAACGTACCTGGAGATAGCTGCCCCCAGCCATAGATTTCTCACCAATTGAGCTGAGTGTGCATTTGATGACCGGTCTTGGCCTCGGTACCACCCACAACGCAATGCAGTGCCACCTCAGCCGAATGCNGATGACCGGTCTTGGCCTCGGTACCACCCACAACGCAATGCAGTGCCACCTCAGCCGAATGCCACATCAGCATGCTCTCATCACCAATCATACATTCCGCATGTCACCACGGCATACACTGTCGTCTTAGCCTTCCGACGCACCCCTGTCTACCCAGGGCCTGCGCCTATCAATGGCCTGCCGTCACAAGAACCAACTGCGAAGAAGCATCATCAACGCACCAAGTCTGTATAACGCCAGCGTGCCAAAGGTAAGTGGTGAATCATACCAGCTCCGATACCAAATTGCAAGGAACATGAATATGGACGAAGCACAAAAATCCAGATTGCAAAATCACACTGAAGTCCAAGTACTCAAAGCACGAGCAGATAGCACAACGGAACCGAGTAACCATCCATTTGAGAATGATACAGAAGAATCGTGAGTCAATGTCCAAGCCCAACAGTGCAACACCAACAGCATAACCCAATGTAGCTCTCTCTTCTGAATGGCGCCAGGCGCCCTATCTACTCTACAGCCTAAGCCTACAATGAAAGCAACCAGACAACTTGACGACCAGCGAGTGATGATGTCAACACCAATGCTGACCTCCACCTCCACCAGGTACGTCTCCTCCTTCACCCACACTCTCCCTTGTTACCCACACAGCGCCCTTCACCTCCGAACAACCACCTTCGCCCTCACCTCCTCTGCGCCCTCATGCAGCCTGGCTATGGCTGCCAGCRCCCTGCGCCCAGACAACGCACCACCRCATTAGCGYTGTCTGCCTCCCTCTGCCCAACGCAGCTTTACACCGCGCAGCAGCTCGCATTCGYGCAGCATGCCGACAATGCCTGCATTGGCCAAAGATACCTGCCCACTCGCATTGCTTGCCTATATGCCAGTGTTGCGTGTGGGCGGCCTCCCTTCAGCCTGCATCTGGGCCCCAGTCGCTGAACCCAGGCCCGATACAGKTGAGGCCCGMGGGATGCAGTTGCACCTCTTTCGTCAAGGCCTGCGGCCAGATTCAGATAGYGGGMCGATTTCCCTTGGCATTTTCGGCCTCTATACCCAGCATGCATTGTCGGCCTCACGTTCAAGTGCCCAGGGCCTAACTAACTCAGAGGCCCTGGGCTTTCAGCATTTGCTGAGATCCGAGACTCGGTGCACTCCAACCAACTGGCGTGCTGCAACTGTATGGACCCCACTTCGTGAAATGTATGCACAGAGGGCTCTTGTTGATTTGCTGGCCCGCCTTCACTTAGGGCGGGCACGAGGCTTGCTGGGGCCTTAGCCCAGAACATGTACATCATGGCAAGGCCCCTTCTTGAGGCCTCAATCCTCACAAAATGGAATGACTGAAGAGAAAAAAATTGTTGGACTGGAAGATTAGAAATCTTCAAAAAAATCACCCCTCCCTCCCCCTACCCCCTCAGCCCTACACTGCCCCCGCCGAGGCGAGCGTCCCGCTCTCCCTCGGCCCCAATATAGGACCAACCCCCTCCACCCCTTTCCCCGAGGACACGCAGTTCCCTCCTAAAACATGCCCTTGCCACCCCTTGCCCGTTTCTGCCTCCACTGAGGATGATGTTGACCCCTCCCACCAACCCAGCCCCAGAAACGGGACAACCCCCCAACTCCGCTTCTACCCTCTTCGAGACATTCACCCCCCTCCTTGTGAATCCCATGTAGGATAGCGCTCCCTATCCACCCCACTCTCCCAATTCTACCCTTCTAAAATAATTGATCCAGCCCACAGGAATAAGCTCAGAATTTTCTCTTGAAAATGACCCGTTGAAGAGGGCGTAGGGCAGGAGTAAAGCTTATTACAATTATTCCCCTTCCCCTTGCGCCCAATGAACAGATGACAACTCCCACCAATTTAGAGAATAGAAAGTAATTTTCGGAAAAAACTATCAGAATTTAAGCTATGATAGAAAATTCAGAAACACTCAGGATTTATTAAAGGATATAGTCAAGGAACAAAACTATATAATTATCGTGATGATTCCTACAAATATGCTAACGATTCATAATAGATGATGTTAAAGTGAAACTAAGGCCGAACTAAGATTGTAATTGAAGAGTTTGAACTTACCTTGAAAAAGGTTGCGAATATAACCCCGATCGTAGAGATTGAACTTACCTTGGAAAATAGCTGCGAGTATAACCCCGATCGTGATTATCGAATTGTCATAGAATTTAACAGCAATAGCGATTACCCTAACCAGAGTTATCGAACAAGAACAGTAGTTATACATCCATACGAAAATACAAGATCAACTCGTTGGAACAAAACGTCGTCGAAGTCCCTTCCCGATGCCCGCGCTTGAACGATCTTCCTCCTCACACTCCACGTGAGAACGTGTTCCTCCCTTCCGCCCGCAACTCCCAACCAACCGCCTCGACACTTCGCAGGAACAGAGGAACAAGGCCTCAACTATGGCCAAAGTCTCATGGAGATCGCCATTCTTCCAGTGGCAGTCTCCCCTTCGCCAGCGTG